CTCTCTCTCTCTCTCTCTCTCTCTCTCTCATACCTTTCTGGTCTTTCCGGTGGGATGTTGTATCCCTCTCAGTCCGGCTCAGTCCTGACAGGGAAGGTCGAAGTTGCCTCCTACAGGATCTAAATCGTGTTGATTGAGGCGTTAAAGATTCTCTGAAAAAAATAATAAAAAGAAAAGAAATTCGAAAAATGAGGGAAGTTGTTTAGGTTTATCACCCTTACAACACTGTAGTTCTTTTTAGAAGCAGGGCCTCCGAACTCAACGTCAACCTCCGATAGGACAGACGCCTTAGCTTAGGAAGCAATGCCGGACAGATCTGAGTGTCGAATAACCGAACCCGCAATCTTACAAGCATAGTGCGGTGACAAAAGGTATGGGTTTAACGCCCCTATCAACACTATTAGGTTATTTAAACAGCGGGACCTCCTAGTTTAACGTCCGTCTCCAATAGGACCGAGCCATGTGGGAAGTGCATGTAAAGTGCCTTTCCCAAGGACACAACATCGGACCGAGCTGAGGCTCGAACCCCCGAACCTGCAATCTCACGATTACGAGTCCGGTAGCCTAACCACAAGACTACAGACGCCTCCCCCGAGTCCGATGTGTAACCACTAGACTACTGACTTAAAACGTTAACTAGATATCTAATAGTTTCCTTTTTAATGTAGGTCTTTTTTTACGCCACCATCGAAATAAATTTAGAGCAATAAAAGAGTCCAGTTTCTACCCTGCATGTTAAGGCTGACCCGGGCTGAGAGGGATACAACATTCCCGAGGAAAACCGATTTTATTATTCGATCAAAATTCTTCATACTTGGGAAGCGAACCTTGGTCTTTTGCGTTAGACGGCAAAGACTATAACCACAACATCGAAGACGCCTGTGTGAACAATCTGATACGGACAGCAGTTGCAAGTCAGCTTTGTAATGACTTTTTTTCCTAGCTTTTCGATTCACTTGTTTTCGCATTATAATAATATAATCGTCGGCCAGCTGTTCAGAAATACTGAGCAAGAATTTTTCTTATAACAAGTGGTATCGGTTTCATTTACTTGAGAAATATTCTCAAAGTTACGTTGCTTTTGCTAACATTAAGAATTTGAATTTAGGCACAAACTGAATCCCCCCCCCCCCCCCCCCCCCCCTTTTCCTCCCAA